CATAAGTCGAGTTTTGATACGTATGTGATACAGTCATACTTGTGTATAGTGCAACAAATCATTCAGTATTGTTCCCCGGTGGTTCAGCGGTAAGTAAGTGGGTTTATAGCACCATAAGTCGAGTTTTGATACGTATGTGATACAGTCATACTTGTGTATAGTGCAACAAATCATTCAGTATTGTTCGCCAGTGGTTCAGCGATAAGTAAGTGGGTTTATAGCACCATAAATCGAGTTTTGATACGTATGTGATACAGTCATACTTGTGTATAATGCAACAAATCATTCAGTATTGTTCCCCGGTGGTTCAGCGATAAGTAAGTGGGTTTATAGCACTAGAAATCGAGTTTTGATACCCGTGATGGGCAAAACACACTTAGTTTATTGTTTAGCTTTGTGCCTTACAACAAACAAACCATTCTATATTGCGGGATAATATTGCTCTAAATTTGTGAGGTGCAGGGAGCGAAATAAAGTTACACTTAATATGAACATCATGCTGAGATATTTGTTGATTTCAGTTAATGAACTATATGGTTCTTAAGTAAACAACTGCATATAAAGAACGTATTGAATATAAATAGAAGTGAATATCATAGCGATGTACTTATTACGATTAGTGAACATTGCATTCAAATGTATTTCATAATTACCATAAACAGTGAAATGGAAACATCAAGAGCTAGTTTTTTTTTTTTGGATAAACCACAGCAGGTATACATGTAGAATTTTAACGCGTCTATAATAATAACGCTCACAGTACATAAAAAGATAATTAAGATAAAGAACATTTTAATAAATCCACATACATCAGTAAGAAATGGAAAGTTACACGTACTGAAACAGCATATCTAACCAACTACGATTATATTAATTATTACTGATTAATGAAAAGCACTAAATTAAAGCTGTATCCTCATATTTAGCATTTTATTAGCTTGATTTATCAATTATCATTACACTAATTCTCAATTTATAGCATGAGTTTTAAAACTCGTTGACGCGTCCCAAGAAGAGTATCATGCCAGATCTGCTGTCTCTGATGATAAAAAGGAATGGATGATTAACATTAAAGCTCCCACTTCCATAACTAACAACCGCCGTCACGGCAGCAGCCTCGCTTCCTTCTTCGTTCACCTCAATAACTGCTTTATGTATAATTTTAGAAACAAACAGGTCATTCTTACTGCTGATACCCGACAAATCTGACTGTCCTGATTTAAACAATTTGGTCAATCCAAGTGACTGCAAGAAAGGAGACAATTCTTTTTCGTATGTTAAATCAAACTTGGGTAAAGCAATACTAACATTGGTTTCTCTCATTTGTCCAATTATCTCTGTCAGTTTGTCAGGGTTCAGTTGACTTTCTACATTAGAAAGGTCGTTTCTCTGGTCAGGAAGAATGACAAACATACTAATATCCTTTCCTTTATAAGGCAGCTCAATCATTTGTGCTTTAAGATCCGCTACTTCTGTAAAATTGAACTTGTGTGTTAAGTGCATAAACAAAATATCCTTCTCATCCGTGCCTTTATTATAGAAAGTTCCACTTAGTGTATTGCTTGAATTAAACTTGTAAAGCCAGGTACCCTTGAAGTAAACTGCGTTCAGTAAAACAAATATCGTACCAGAGCTCAAAGGTTCTTCGAAAAGTTTAGCGATTTTATGCTGCGTTTTTTGATCCACCCATTCGTTAATTTCCTGGGTAGCTTTCTCACTTTCCTTTACAAAATCGGCTTCTCTTATTTCTGCTTTGTATTTCTCCTGTAACTGTGTTTTGTAAGAGTCCAGTACAGAATAATCAATATGATTAACCATTGAATTAGCTGCAATCAGTTTGTACTGATCTTGAGACCTTTCTATTTGGTTAAGAGTGCTCTGAAAAGCTTGGTGAACTTCTTCATTGAGCAGCTGTTCCTCCCGATACCCAAGT